TCATTACCATTTTTAAACAAAACTATGAGTATAAAAGAACTTTAATAAAATTTTTATATTCTTAAGAATTTTTTTTTTACTTTAACAACTTTTTACAACAAAATTGATGTTAAAGTTAAAGTAAATGTAAAAGAATAAGGGTAGTAAACCTTTTACGTGACATTACTAGATCTTTTTTTTAAATAATCCCATTTCGCACATAGGTTGCGAGCTTGCGAGATATAACGAAAACTTAAACTTACTCGTAATAGTAGATGGTTTTTGGATAGTTCAATTACTTGCCTAAAGACCTCAATTATATGATAAGATCTGTATGTAGTTTTGTTGAAGTTTTACGCGAACAAACTCGTGGGGTAAAAGTTAGTAAGTATACAATAATTTTCTTACATTTAACAGTTATAGGTAATTTGAGGTGATTGCTTGAAAATATTTTCATTTGAGTATATTATTTACTACCTGAAAATGTATTGCGTTGGTACTTATTATTGAAAAAAATATGAACTAAAATAATAAAATAATAAGTGATATCTAACGAGGAAGATTTGCATTAATATAAATAATTTCAATAGCTTTGACTTGTGACTCCTTTGTCTCGTTGGTGTATTAGTCGTAAGCCCGACTGCTGATTATGTGGTCCTGTGTTCGAACACGGTTCGGCCCAAAATAGGTTATTAGCACAAAAATCGTAATAATATTGGGTGTGTTTGGCAGAAAAAAGCGCTAGCAAACGCTTACAAGCGCTGAAATAGTTTTCGGCCAGGACACAATTGCTACTTCAGTAGCGCTGACACAATCCGCCATTTTGCTTATTTAATTTGTTTGTTTTGAAGTAAAGTTTATAAGTTGTTTTGTGTAATATTTTAGTTTTAAGTAATATAATGACTGAATAAACATATACATGTTATTAAAAATTCATGATTGGTAAGTTTTTAATATGAATACTTTACAAACATATGTTTAAATTAGGTTAAGTTCCCCGGTTAAAACTAACATCGTGTCCTGGAGGAAAATAGCTGCTTACGATTTGACAGCGCTTACCGCTTACGATCGCCATTTTGCTTACAAGCGCTTACTAGCGCTTTTTTCTGCCAAACGCACCCATTGTCTTATTATTACTGTTTCTGTGGTTAATTAGGTTTAAGTTAGTGGTGTTTCACTAATGTGCCTCGTTTGGAGAAGCGCCAACAGCTTTAGCTTCAGCGTGCGATTACCGTAACATCGAACAATAAGCACAGAATAAATAATAGTACTTCGTTCATAACAGCGTGGGAATAGACTGTGTACTCGCGCGCGGACATTTGCACTATAATCCTGTCCTTCGCAGACGTCTAGTGTCCAATAAAATTGGCCCCAAAATTTTGTCTAAAACGCATTATTATTTATTGTGACATTGGCATACATCGTTCAATATTAAATATAGTTATAAATTTAGCTACAATACATTGATTTTATATTTTTTAACGAGATTTGACGAAGTTCAAGCCACCAGACAGTTGGTGACGATAGTATTTCAAAAAAACAAACAAACGCATAAATTGCCATTACGCGTGTGAACTATCACACGCGTAATTAATAGGTCCTTACATATGAAATTGGCGTTTAGTACGGGAGGAATAGAAAGTCATTTTTTTTTTGTAAAATATATTTAATTAATCAAAGTATGTGCCGTTGTTATCTATGCACTTTTGCCATCGTATAGGTAGTTCATTGATCCCTTTACTAAAATAACCATGGGGGCCAGAATCAATAAACTCTTTGAAGGCGGTGTGGACTGCCGTATCGGAGTTGAATTTTTTTCCTTGTAAGAAGTTGTCCAAATTCTGGAAAAAATAGTAATCTGTTGGAGCAAATTCCTGGGAGTACGGTGGATGTCGCAGACATTCCAATTTTAACTCATCTAACTTAGCGGTTATTTCTTGTGCAGTGTGTGGTCTTTCGTTGTCGTGAAGCGGCAGTGGCGTAGAGCGATTGAACAATCTCGGTTGTTTAGCCGCTAGTTCTTCCTTCATGGATTGCAGTTACTGACAACAGATATCTGCCGTAATCGTTTGACCAGATTTTAGAAAGCTGTAGTGAATGACACCGGCGCTAGTCCACCAAACACTCACAAGTAACTTTTTCAGAGCCAATTTTCGTTTAGGACAGGATTTGGTTGGGTCTCCAGGGTACAGCCATTGCGACGGGCGCTTCCAATTATCGTACAGTATCCACTTTTTATCATAAGTAATGATTCGATTTAAAGTCCTTTCATTTTTGTGTCGGTTAAGCAAAGTAACACAGCGATAGACGCGTGTTTGCAAGTTCGATTTACTCAATTCATGAGGTACCGTAAGTAAGTTTTTTTACTTTCCCGATTTGCTTCAAGTGGATTAATACAGTTGTATCACTTACCTCGAAGCCTGCAGCTATATCTGAAGTGCTTTGTAATGGAACCGCTTCCACAATAGTCTTTAATTCTTCATTTTTCACTTTGGTCTCTGGCCGTCCACGGGGTTGGTTCTGAAAGTCAAAATTTCCAAAACGAAAACGTTGATACCAAAAACGTACCGTGCTTTCTTTTGCGACACCAGCGCCGTACACATCATTAATTCTTCGAGCTGTTTCTGCAGCACTGGTGTCACGGTAGAACTCGCACTCGTAAATATACCGATATTTCATGTTTTCCATTGTGTGGTAATAAGCGACGCCAAAGAAAAAAATAATGAAAAAAAAACAAATGAATGACTGTTTTCAAAACTCGAATGTACCAGCTAAATGAATTTATAAATTTGAATTGGAATTCTTAACCAAAGAGGAGATATTTCAGATCAAAGTGGTCAGTACGACAAAACGCTAATTTCATGTGTAAGGACCCATAATTTAATACTCAAAATGACACTACTTTCACGTATTAAAATCCACTTAAAGATCGCCCGTATAGGAAATCGATTGTATAGGAATAAATGTGAATACATGAGCAGCAATCCATTGAGGTGATCAAGTTTCCGCAAGAAATCCTGAGATATTTATATTATAAAGTTTTGCTTATTATAACTTTCAACTTAACGTTACCGATAAACAACATAAATGATACAGATACCTATTTAATATCGAGACGATACGTGAAAGAGAGATAATCGGGTGGTTAAATCAAAGAAGATTTTAAGTTACTTAATGTCGCCCCTTACGTTCCGTGAATGTCATAAGGCCGCGTTTCCACCTGCAAGAACACTCGCGGTATTATTGGATAAGTTTCTTGCAATATTGTTTACATATCGTACGAATTATTGCAATTTTTCCTGCAATAAATATCTCGTAAGAAGTTCGCGAGTCATACTATCGCAACTTATCACTGAGGTATTTACACACAAGAGCTATAGATGTCGCGAAGGCTATGGCAATTTAGTTTATAGTGCTGTTGCAGTTGGAAACGTGGCCTAAGAGATAATTAGGGAATATGCAAGAATAATCCTATAGCTTCCGTTTGATAATGGTTGACATATAACACTGATTTCGGCAACGGAATATATTTATACAGTGATACATTTCATTTTATTAAAAAATCTCATACTACAAAAACTGACAACGTTATTAGTAAAAATACTATACATTTATGTGTTAACTATCAAAACAATAAATAATACAATATCTTTACATTCATAAAACCTTCTTTATTTCTTTTATATCTGTGATAGACCCCCAATCACGATGATGAAAATTATGCATTTTAAATTATGTCGGGTTTTTTCAAAGAGTAGCCAAATTTTAAACTTAAGTTAAATTATAAAAAGGTTATTGCAGTTTTTAAAAATACGGGTAAATAAAGCTTCTACTATTATTTAAAATTATCCCAAATTGAATGTGTTTTAAGCGCAACAATTACGCGTACGCGCGTTTCTCTGTTTGCGGTTCACAACGTTTAGCCTACCGATCGACCCTTACAAAAATGTTTGCGAGCGCAATAAATATACTTATAATATATCAGTTAAAATAATACATTAACACGCATTTTGCATTTAAAAGTGCTTGAGATATTTTTAATTAATTTTTCTTCACCATTTGCCTATATTACTTATTCTGAACCTTGTCTCAAATTGTGGTCAGTTAGTGTAAAATAATCCTATATATAATACAATACTATTACTAATTCCAGCTCTGCGATTTTTCACAAATCCATGTTTGAGCTAGTAAAAAGCTAGTTTCAACTTTCAATCACCCGTTTCATTAAAACACATAACAAATTTTAACATTATATTTCGTCAAGCAAGTTACAAAATTGTTATAAGTGTCTTCATCTTACAGATCGATGGTGAATTAAAAAAGGCGAAGAAAATGGAGCCGGTGATACAAAGATAAACAATATCACATCAATAACTACGTTGACACTCAAACCCATAAAAATGGGCCCAATCATCGACGCCTCCAACTCTACACATAACGTCTCTGGACCTGTAGATCCTACCCTAGTCTTTGGACCGCAGAGGGATTCTTTATACATAGTTCTACCAATTACATTAATTTATACACTAATATTCATAACAGGGTTAATAGGAAATATTTTCACATGCATAGTTATTGTACGTAATAAAAGTTTACAAACAGCGACGAATTATTACTTATTTAGTTTAGCCATATCCGATCTACTTTTATTAATAAGTGGAATGCCGCAAGAAGTCTACTCAATCTGGTCAAAATGGCCTTATATATTTGGCCACACCTTCTGTGTAATACGAGGCTTGGCAGCAGAAACTTCTACCAACGCAAGCGTACTTACAATAACGCTTTTCACCATAGAAAGATATTTAGCTATATGTCATCCATTTGTTTCGCATAAAATGTCCAAGTTATCTCGAGCTATAAAACATGTAATTCTTTTATGGATTGCTTCATTTATATTGGCACTGCCTCAAGCATTACAGTTTGGAATTCGAAATCACGAAGGAGTCATTATGTGTCTTCAGACACGAGTGATAATCCCACATTCCTTCGAAATATCTACGTTCTTTTTCTTCTTCGCTCCGATGATTGCTATCACCGTTTTGTACTCTCTTATTGGGTTAAGATTAAAAAGATCCCATAGCCATAGAGATAATCAACATCGTCAGAATTTCATGAGGCATGTACCAACGATAGAAAAAATACACCGGAAGAACCACCAATCGACAAAAAGAGTTATTAAAATGTTGGGTAAGTAGCTTAAATTGCATATACATATGTAGTATACAATAGATTTATTGGTTGTCATTAAAAATCTCAAAATATCTTTAATAATAATAATATTAATAAAAATATCTATAATATTTGTACAAGCAAACGTGCAATTTCTTATTTGTGGTAAGTTACTTATCATTTAACATAAACTCTCACGCCTGTCACGTACAAAAATAGGCAGAGACTACGGACTAACATTTGACACGATTCTGACACACTTCGCTTCTTGAAAATCCATAACATATCAGCACATACATGCTCGTTAATTAAGGATAATATATCGCCGATTTCATCGATAATAGTATCTATTAAATTTTTTATATTTTATTTGCTACCAGTATTAAAATAAAAAGGAATTATTAGTGTCATATTGTACGTAATAGTAATTTTTTTCTGTAAGTATAATAAGTTCTATGAAAGTCGGTTTTACTTGACTTCTTAGGCTGAAAGTCATTAAATTTGCGCGCGTAAAAATTTGTAATGATTGTTAAAAAGTGCAAGTAGTCACGGCTCAAAACGAAAACCAGTCTGTAGTTTATTCAACAGACCGTTGTCGTCCGAAAAGCGGATGCTAAGAAATCTGTGGGCACGGATACGGTGCCCGATAATCAAAAGGAAACTCAACAAATAGACCGAAGAGCTATCGGTAGCAATAAGAGCGAACAGGGGAGATGCATGGAGAGGCGAGTCGACGAAGCCTCGGAGACACTCGCCTCTCTGCATCTCCTCAACCGGAAACTCACGAAAACGCCACCACCTGTTTGCCCACAGTGGACAACACGGGAAAAAGGATCTACGATGCCCGGAAGAGGGATAAAGTGATTGCACAACACCTTGAAAATCAGTTCAAACCTAATACCATAGCAGAGGGGTAAGCAGAGCACACAGAGAGTGTAGTGAACCGCTTATAGGAATACCTTTCGAACCCGGTGCCGCCACTACGGAGTGATGATTTTATCTCGCCAGCAGAGGTAAGGCGCGCCATCATGCGCCTACCTAACGGCAAAGCACCGGGTTGCGACGGTATCACCATCGGGGCCATAAAGCAGCTGCCCAAAAGGGGGATTGTGGAGATTACCAGGCTTTTTAACGGCGTTTTAAGAACCGGCCACTTCCCGACCGTCTGGAAGCACGGGCAAGATCGTCGTGCTGCCAAAGCCGGGTAAGGATAGGAGGTACTCGGCTAGCTACCGCCCCATAACGCTATTACCGCACATAACGAAACTCTGAAAAAATCACCCTTAATAGATTATTGTCGCACGTTGCTCTGCGAGAGGAGTAATTTGGCTTCCGCAGAGCACACTCAACCACAGCCCAACTAGCCCGCGTGCTGCACTATCTTGCGGCCGAGTACAACCGCGGCTGCACCTGTGTGCACGTAGTGCTACTGTTTATACTGTACTGTACTGGACTGTAATGTACGATAATCTCGAGCGGGGTGAGGAAACGGTTAGCGTTGGAGGCAGAGGCTTGCTGGGCCGCGAGCGCACGGCAGGTGCCCAGCGGATCCCACATTTGGAGAGAGGCAGCGCCTTGGAATCTGCATTCCCAGATCAGCGGGGCTGTCAGTTTACATATTGTACACATTACTAAACACTACTTACATGCACATCACTTATCACCTAACAGGTACCCCGTGGTCAACCCTACCTCCGCCAATCGGTAAGTATTGCTTACTTCTTTGTTAGCCGTTATTAATTTAATTATCCATAGGTCGTTGGACTCTCCCTTTTGTTACTCGTCTAGTTGGACTACTGATTGGCCCTAGTTCAATAGTCTTTTGTCAGGGTAGCTCAGGGCCGTAACAGCTACTTTACAAACTAATTGAACGCACTACCTTGCCACCTATGCTTGTGAGGCTAATAGCGTCGTTCCTGCATGGGCGGAGCTTCAACATCAACATTGAAGAGTCAGTTTCGATAGCACTACCGATCGAAGCGGGAGCGCCACAGGGCAGTAGCCTATCACCCCATCTGTACGCGGTTTACACAAATGAAATCCCCAGACTCCAAAGCCACCTGGAGGAGTGGGAAGATGATGTCGTCCTGGCTTTATATGCAGACAACAGTGCGTACTTCACGTCATCTCGTCGGGTAGATATCGCGGCAAGGAAGCTACAGCGACTGCTGGACTTGTCAACCGAGTGGCTGGACCGATGGAGGATAGTGGTCAATGTCGTGAAAACTGCCGCCTTCATAATCAGGTTGACACGCATTCCACCAACTCTGCGTCTCCGTGAGCAGGACGTAGGTTGGAAAACAACTGTCACTTACCTAGGATGCCAGATAGATCGGTCGTTGCGCATGACCTCTATGGTCGACCACTTCGTGGTTCAAGCCAGAGTCGCACGAGCGAAACTATACCCTATACTGACATCCAAACTTCCTCTTAAAATTAAACTCACAATATACAAGACATACGTCCGCTCACGGCTGATATACGCAGCGCCAACCTGGTATGCGCTGACATCGACCACTCAGCGCAAAAGTTTACAAGCCCAGCAGATACCTTGCGCTTCGTGTGATCGTGGGAGCAGGCCGCTACGTCATAAATGACATAATAGCCAGAGACCGATCGAGTCAATCCAAGAATTTGTGGCCCGTACTGCGAGACGGGTGTTCGACCGCGAAGATAACGAACCACACCAACACCTACAAAACTTTGCACCCCTACACGCGCGCCCACCTGACCTTCAGTCACCGACTCCACCTCCACCACCTGATCTCTCCCACGTGAACTTCTTCACTCACCGCCTAGCGAGGGAGCCACCGGGAACGAGTGATTCTTCCCGACACCTGACTTGATAGCGTATAGTGTATTATCCCAACCGACAAGCTGCGTAGTAGCATCCAAGACCGGGGGAAGCCGTGTCCCCCCGCGATCCGCGATAAGGAAAGTGAAAGATATAAAGTAGTGAAAATTTCAATTTCGTGTTTCCAAGGAGAATTTAAGAACAATTGATGTTTATTTTCAAGCTCATTTAGTGTTCACTCTAATGGTAAGGAAATATACAGACCACTAAGTACATGACTGACGTCAAGACCGGGACCATTCTTTAGGGTCCCGTAATCTTAGTCGTCAACCCTTTCTTTGAGACAGGACAAGGTTCTGAGTCGAACTTCTTACTCAGGGGTCAAACCCACATAATTGTTCCCTAGCCCAAAGTGGTGTGGTATTGTTCTGTGAATAGAAGCTCAATAATTATCACTGCTGCAGGGCGCTAGATGAATAACTCCGTTTTAAATAATATTATTTATGCCCGACAATGCAGTAAAAATAATATATATATATTTCTTTTTTCTTTTTGTTAATTTTTGATAAACATGAATCAATTGACCATTCATTAGGTGAAATCGGTATAATAAGCTGGTACAGTAAAACATCTATACAAACATACATACAGTACAGTAAACATACATACAGTACAGAATCCTTTATTTGATATGCCGTAATCGGTTATAATATAGGTTGAAGTGACAACCCTTGGTTGTAGTAAAACGTGACAAAGTAACCGTCCCATCATGGCATCCCTAGTATGGTAACTATGCCAAGTCAGTTTTATAGATAAATGTTTAGACCTTCATATTACTCCACTAAATATTACATTTCCTTAACATTAATATTACTTTATTATAAACATATAGATACCTCATTCAGTATTTCAAACAATATCTGCAAAAGTTCTAGAGCAATGAACAAAGAGGATAACGTCGCCGGCACAAATCTGTGTCTCATAAAAGAATGCTGTGAATTAGTTACTAAATTTTCCTCCAAAAATGGCATATCTCGAAAAACGTTGTCCGTGTTATTCGTAATTTTTTACCTGTAAATCCCTGATGGTAAAATTAACTTCCATTGGTAAAGTTGCACGACTTGACTGTACTAAATTAATACTTGAATAGGTAGCTCGTGAACAATAAATGATTATGTATGAATTTTATTAAAACACTAATTCAACACTTTAATTTTGAAAGTAATTGATTCGTTCAAATTTTAACTTAAATATTTAATAACGCGATAAAATCCGTAAATATAGTTTTATTCAATGTGTAATGTTCGCAAAAATTTAAGAAATCATTATAATGCGAATTAACAGTAATATATTTAGTGTTAATTCTACGTGTGTCAGGCTCGTGCCTAATCAATAGTCTTCTACGCCTTTGGGTGACAAACGTTGGACTTTACGTTTTGTTGTGTTTTCTTAAACTATTCTTAAATGAATAAGGTCTTATTAAAATAAACATTAATGGCCTATACAACCTCGACTCAAATTCTAATTTCGCCCCCACTTCCCCGCGCGTCGTATGATATCTACGTATATGTTTGTATAGCTCGTACAGATAAAGAATGGGATTATATATGGCGGCCAATCGAGCCCGTACCGACGACATGCACAATACAAATAACTAAAACCCGCTAATAACGGTATACCGTTATTATATGAATTAAAACGTTAGTTATATTATTCGGTTAATTGGAATTTTTCTATTAAAGGGAAAATATTTAAATATAATTATATACATCAGTAGACATATTAATTTTAAAATAACATTTATAACCAGTGACCCGCACTGGCTTTGCTTGGATAAAATTGAATTATTTACAAGTATAGATTAGTAAATCATTCACGAAGACTATAAAATAAAACAATGTATTTCATAAATTAAGTTTATATTAATTTAAACCACAGTTCATAAAATATTTCAAATAGGACAGACAGGTAAACACTCTATAGCTATATATTTTTACGTATAGTAATCTTTGAAAATTCAATTCTGCTACATCAAACTTCACCAGAATCGTCTGAGATCACTTTGATTCCGGACATCCCATCGTTATCGTCTTGAAAAGCAGCTATTGCTTTCTAAATCGCTGTTCAGTTAATTATAAACTCTTCAATTTCATTTTCATTCGTTACCACCCTCGTCCGTTAATTTTTCCTCAATATATTTAGTGTCTATTAATTTCAATTTGCATTTTTTGGATTTGGTCTTAAAAATCAACTCAGCACCGTTCAAAAATCCATTGCACAATAATCCGTCTTTTGGGTTCCGTACCACCAATTCTATCACTGTTTATCTTGTTTTCATTATTTGTTATTTAAGTATAGAGTATGTAGTATTATATATGTATGTAGTATAGTGTATGAAATATTATAATAGTGTTAGTTAGAAAAAATAGATAAATTCAATGATGGTTTTACCATTTTAAGATATAAGAAGAAGAAGAACAAAAAATCGTTGGAAAATTAACTCTTTTTGAGATTTCTTATATAAAGACCTCCTTGGGCTTTAACATTTTATTCGTTTCATTATTTGCGATTAAAGTGACCATTATAGTAACTAATAATTAAAAAGTAACCGCCCAGCGATAAGAAGGCAGATAGACTCAGTAATAGGGTTCCGTTGGGCACTCCACCGGGTAGTGGCGGTGTAAGAATATCTACTACTCCTATCACCACGTAGGTGTCGTAACAGGAGACAGAGGGAAACATATGTGCAGATAGGCAGCAGCATCTTTCCTTTGTTCATTCTTTATTGTCTCTACCGGTGGGTGTGAGTATAGATAGCGACAGTGTGCGAGCAGGAGGTAAATAGAGGCGACGCCTTTTCAGTCTCATTCTTTAACCGCACGAGTAGTAATCACTAATACTGTAATTAGATTCGTCGATAGATACTTATTTCATTAGGTTTATCATATTTTTGTCTGTTTATTTACGCCAACCCAGTCACTTCTTGTTTTTATTACGGTCATTTTCCATTTTAATTTTACGTCGTCCTGTTGCGTAATGTGCATTTTGAGCGCAAGTGACACAGCTTTCCCTATTTGATAGCCGAAGAGCCGGTCAGAGCATGAGGGGGGTATTGGGCGGCAGGGAACAAGCTTCAGGACGCCGATAGTTTAGGTAATTTCTTTTTAAGGCCTGTTTTTACTTTGATTAGTGCGAGTTCAGGTAATTAGTAATTGAGAGTGATAAGTGCAGGTGTGTAGTCTAAGTAGTGTCCAATTCTGTTTAGTGACTGTGTTATGTAAACTCAGTTTTTAGCCGTTGTCCAGCAAGTACTCTTATCTGTTTAACTTTCTTAACTTCTTGCGAAAATTTGGATCTCAAGTTTCTTATTTTATAAACTTCTTTACTTCCAAACCCCATTAATTTTTTTAGATACTCTTGCACAAATTTATCGGTTATGTCTTCGGTCACCTTTGCCATTCTTTTCAACACAAACGAGCATTCAGCGCTAAACGTTAAACACAAAATACGCTGTCCAGACGTGTTTAATGGCAGATATGCTGCGAGTGATGTGGGTAAGGGTGGAGGCACGGGAATTCCACTTGCAAAAAAATATAACACGCTTACTTACTAATCACTTGCACTAATCAATCACTTTCCACACATGTTTACTCCTAATCACTAAACACCTACACTAATCACCTGCACTATTCACTAATGAAAGTGAATACAGGCCTTAATTGTGAAAATAATGGTAATTAAAAAAAATTAAAAACAAGACCTGCTTTATAGTTAGTTCAGTTAGTATGCAAAGCTTCATGATTTAATTTGAAGTATTTTGTGAATACCAGCGGTTTATTTTTCCGTTTGGAGGTAACTATGGATTTTTTTCTATCGATAAAATTTTACAGAATCGTGTTTTCGTCTAACATAGTACTTAACATTAACCCTCAACTTTACCATATATTTATTGCAAAATTAACGCTGCAATATTTTCGACATAACGGAGGATCATGCTAAGCCATTTGAGGTAGTATAGGCTCTTAAAATGGGCAAAGTTAAAAAAACTTAAGCAACGCCTGCGTTGTGGAGAGCGGTGCGTTTAGAATCGAACATTTGTATCGCTATTAACTTAGTAATAATGCGAGTATATAAAACTTTATTAATATTTAGATATAGTCCATCCATTCGGAAAATTATAGGTAAAGTAAACATCGAACATTGTTCTAAGAAACAAGCCCAGTGGTTAAACAGTAATTACAAAGACCCGACTACGTAAAAACTTTCGCTGAAAAATGAAAAAATGCATACCTTATATCACTTCCACAACTAAGACTAATCCAACAACTAAAATGTTATATTCATCGCTACAGAGAAATAGACATACAGACATTTGAAAAACATTACCCTCCTTTAAGGGCAAAAAGTCAGGTAAAAAGTAAGTCGGATTGAAGAGCAAACTTAATTGTTCAATGAAAAAAGTCTCCCACCATTCATTGGCTTACATCACGGCCGTTGCTCTAAGTTCAAGGTGAACAGCCAATACTAACTCTTTTGCACCTAAATTACGGAATTATCCAAAAATCTAATGCTGTATTTTACGTTAATCAGGCACTGAAAATAATTAAATATAAAATATTTATTATTTGGACCGCCCAACCCAATTTTTTATTATTGTTATTGCACTAACATTGCAATAACGACCTTTTTAATCGCTTGGGCCATATTTGTTCGGGTTTTGTATAAAATGAGTGAAAAGTGCAAAGGTAGATTTACCGTACTATTCCAGAAATTATTTTTATTTTATTTTTGAATGAATAAAATCTAAGGCCTGAGCTACATCATGACTTACATACTTTAAGTACTATTATAATTGTGACAATTTTGAACTCAAAATACCATTTACATAAATATCTAACATTTAATAACTTTAAGCAATATTTAAAGTAGAAAGATAATAATGAAATTATTTATCGCTTATTACTTAATATACTTATTAAATTAATTTAACATTCACAGTTGCCGTGGTTGTTGCGTTCTTCGTCTGCTGGGCACCTTTCCATGCACAAAGGCTAGTCGCGATATACGGCACGCGGGAAGACCACCTTGCAAAATCTCCAACCTTACTCTGCGTTTATTCTACCCTCACTTACATCTCAGGAATTTTTTACTACATGTCCACGTGCATCAATCCATTTTTTTATCACATCATGTCGAATAAATTCCGAGACGCTTTTAAGGTACGATTTCTTTTATTTAGTTCTTTCTTTTTTTTAAAAAACACCCTCTCTTTCTTATTTAACAGCCTTTTAATAAAGGCTGTTAAATAAAAAAGAGATTATTTTATTTATTTTTAAATTAATATTTACTGTTGAATAAAGCCATATTCTATTCAAAGATGCGCTATACTAATTGCATAATTTGGAACATTTCACTGTACTCATCACGCTTGGAGTATGAGAAAATCCTATTGTGTACGAGTACAAATTAACAGCGAACTCGATCAGCACCGCATACTGAACATAGTTTGACACAAATTAAAATTTACATGTTTCACTGAAATACTTTGTCAATATGCAGTAGTAACCTTTGAACTGTCGCTTTTCTCTTTTTTATTTTTGTATTTAATTACTAAACTTCAGTAATGTTTTGCGTGTGTTTATAAATTACGATACAACAGATAAAGACCAAATTAACACAACTAGTTACTATCATAAAATCCTTAAAAAGTTACTATACTACAGACTTATAACTATAGACTTTTATATCACATTCAAATCAATTCAATGATCGTAATTCAATAATAATACAAATGTCTTATATTATGAGTGGTGTTTTTAAGTCCAGATTTTCGAATACAAATTCTAAGATGTCGGTGTGAATTGAACTAAGTCCACTTATCCATGTAATTTTACGCCAAACGCTTAGCCCCTGAGCTACTCAATATTATGAATACATCAAAAAACATTTATCTGTTTGACAGAATTTTATGAGGACAATAAAAAATAAATAATAACTTTTTAAATGAATTTTGATCTAATGCCACTTTACGGGGACTATTTTTACCCTAAATATAAAATGCAATACATTTTCAATCGAAATATCTAGTTCAACAATACGTTGATAAGATCGTTACTGGGTAAATTTATTTAACGAATACAGTTATGGATCAAATTATCCATAAACATTTCAATTTGGCACAAATATATCGAAGACTAGCTTATTGTTATGATTATATATATATATATATATATATATATATATATATATATTATTATATATATCATAACAATAAGCTAGTCTTTTATTTCTTGTTTTTTTTTTATATATATCTATTTGTTATTTTTATTCGAAATCATACTTCATTGAGCAGTCTTCAATAGTATAAAACATTATGTAGTAAAATGATAGCAAAAACTTGTCTCGGGTATATTTGTTTGTACATTCATATTTAGTTACAATGTCACTACAAATCAAGATGAATTTGAGTAGAGGTTTTTATGAAAGGATAAGATAAAAAAACAGTCGAAGTAATAAATCTTCTAAATACATTTCAAAATTTAATTTAAGTACACAAGGTTCTTTGAGCCGTGGTAGCTCGGATGGTTAGCGCTCGCTGTAAATTTCACAGTACGCGAGCAAACGGAGTTCGATCCCCGCCGGCGCCAATGAAATTGTTAATTGCAATTAGTGCTGATTTACCACGTGCCCGGTGGTGAAGGAAAACATCGTGATGAAACCTACATGTCTGAGAAATAAGAAAAAAAAATATTTCGAAGACATGTGAAGTTTGCCAACACGCATTGGGGCAGCGCGTCGTACAATTCCTTGCCCTAAAACCCTCTCAGAAATGAGCGGGAGGCCTGTGCCCAGGAGTGGGACATATATAGGCTATAACTAACACGAGGTTTATATTACCATTTCAGAATTCAGTTACGAAATGGTGCTGCCGAATAAAGGACACTCCTGGAAATAAGCGGGATTTTTACACTGCAATGCCTTTTTCCCAGAGAACTACTTCAAATGGCACCAAAAATTCTGGTAAGAAACATTTTCCTATATGCCTCTCCAAGTACACGTTCGTGAGGAAATAAAATAACATATGTACCACGCCATAAAAACAGAAATACTGTGCTATCCAAACATCAGCCTGTGAATATTATATTCAGCGTACTTGGATATATTATCTGCCATCATTTTCCAAAGTTTAGTTATTAAATATATATTTCAATACGACTACTGCAAGTGAGGTAAACTTTGAAAGAAAATGACATATTTTTACACGGTGGTCTACCTGTTTACTATATTTTGCTGCCCATAGACCACTCGAAGAAAGGAATCCTCGACTTCGGGAGTTATTATTTGGAAGTAGAATTAATGTTTTAGTTCTTTAACGTCGGCTTGAACCTTTTGTTGAAAGTTTAATATTTTTACGAGCTCAAACTAGGAGCTGGTGAATTTTGTTTTCAAAGTTTATATGGGACCAACTCCGAAGTTCGGTTCTCAAGAGAAAAAATATACACTCGAATCGAGATCTTTCTCTTTTTTTAATCAGCTGAAATCCCCGACACCTTATTTAATAACGTAAATCCATACAGGGTAGGAACAAGAAGCAGCGACAAGTTTATTATGATGCACCAGATACTGCGATCGGGAATCTTGTTTAGCCGACTTCAAAAGTGGAGGGTCAATTGTTGACCCAATTTAATGATTATTCCTTTATTAAATAAGTTATACGTAAGTCACTCAATAAGTTTTGAGATGCTCAAAATTTAAAAATGGAACGCACCCGTGTAATATGTTTCTAAAAAGAAAATTTATTTAAAAATAGAACTCCACAAGTCCACAACCAATTGCTCAATATTAAAAAAAAACAAAGTTCTATTAATCTTCCTGTAGCGCTTCCCGCGCTTTTCATTTAAAACGAAGGATCACATTTGCGCGCAATGATCTATTATGATTTTAAATTTGGTTTAAAACCGAACAATTAAGTTTACAGCGGTTACGGACGGTTAACGGAGCTGAGTCCTCTAACGCTGAATATTAGAGGACTCAGCTCCATCACGCGCAATAATTTTTAGGTGGTTTGCTGAATTCAAAAGGGATAAAATTACATATACAGACATAAAAAATATTGTAGGAATTAGTTCGAGAAGCATTCATACTATTCTACATCAACATCTTGTGCTGAAAAAGCTTTGTTGTCAACGGATCCCTCGTTTGCTCTTATAAAGTGAAAAACAGACTCAGTGTGGATTGGTGCCACGAAATGCGTCTACGTTTTGAAAACGTGCATCCAGGCGTGTTTCAGAAGTCGTTACTAGTGACTAGACATGGATCTATCAATATGATCCGGAAAATAAAAGGCAATCATCGGCATGTACTTAGAAGGACAGTACCGACAAAACTGCAAAGACCTCGCAACGTCGACAAAAAAATGGTGGCTAGTTTTTTTTCGCGGAGCGGACATTTGTCGATATCAATGCTGGAAAATTGTAGGTCAGTCAACTCTGAATGGTATACTATAGTTGCATTACCCAAAGCTTTCCAAGCTGTACGGGAGAGAAGGCCAAAGACCGGGCTTCGCGGAATCATGCTGCATCACGATAACGCCTCTTCACATACCTCCCTTAGAACAAAAGCATTTATTGAGGAATCTGATGTTGAAACTCTAAGTCACTCGCCCTACAGCCTTGACTTAGCTCCTTGTGATTTTTTTGTTCCCAAGAGTCAAAGAAAAAATTAAAGGAAAGTTTTGTCAAGCACCGAAGAAGCCGTGGCTGCCTACGAAGAAGCGACTTCCTACCTGTCAGATCAAGACCGGCAAAAGTGTTTTCAAAGCTGGTTTAGGCGAATGGAACTTTGTATAGAGCTTGAAGGAGAATATTTTTAAAGATGTAAAATAAATATTAATAGCATCTAAAATATTTTTTGTATATCTCAACACTTATTGAGTGTCCTACGTGCTTTAGGGGTGACCCCATATAAATTTAGAAAAAATTTCACAATTTAGGATATATACTGTTAATGATTCGGAATTTTGATAGCGTGATTTAGGCTTCGGTGTGTTTCACTTGCGGCGCGACGGCAGCCCCGCCACATTACAATCGAAGTAATAATATAAAAATGAAGCTTAACTTTAACGCCACGAAGGCTTCCTTTTCGTTTAGAATGTGGAAAATGTTTAGTGTTTTTAGAACCGTAAAGAAAACCATATCAAAAAGTGAAACCTCTTTTTGAACCTAATTAAAGAATCGAAATGAAACTCGAAACCAGTTTTTTATCTCGATCGGCCGTTTGATATACGATAGTTTTCATTACAATGAACCAATTATTTTTAATTAATGTTCACTGTATCAAAAATATACAAATTGATCATTTATTTTTAATCTAAATAACAAACTCAAGCTCTCAAACCCAAAACCTTTGAATAATAGATATTGTTGAGGCTTATTGCGTAAAAATGAAGACAGGATTTCGAGATAAAAATACCTTATAATTTAAATTTTTTTACGTAAAATAATTTGCGTGTATAGTAAGTAGCAGTACCTATATTTTTTGTCATGTTGATGATTTTGTCTTCAAATAATGTTTCCATATTGACTGACTACTTTATGAACAATGAACATCTTATACCGTTAATTTGCTTTGGTGATTGACCTATTTTATCAATTTTGAGAAAACTGATTCGATGAAACTTAAAAGAAAAAATACATAACAATTATATACTGTATTAAGCTACAAGTAAAATACCTAACATTCACAAAAATCATTCAAATCAACTATAATAACTATTTATTATAAACAATCAATAAAACCAAACTCTTCCTTGTGATAAGTCACATCGCATTTTTCAAATGATTCTGTTATTTTCTTTAAACTGCGGTCTTTTAAAAAATACATTATGTATTTTTAGTTTTTTTATTGTTATTATAGCTTAGAAAAGTTGCAGGTACCGACACATTGGAAATAATTTCTGTGTTGATACTTTCAACCTTCTTTCTCCTGTAAAAAATAATTACAATTCAAACTAATTTTTATTTATTTATAAGTGTTTAATAAATTTATCTAAATATATTATACTAAATAAATAAAAACAAAAAGAAATTTGACTTAACATTACTGGAATCGAACCCGGGCATTCTCGAGTGCAAACTGCAAATCCAATATCTCTACTAATTACACGTTGGTTGAATACTCAAAGCCACGACCATGGGTATGAAAGTCCTCAGTACATTGCTTTTGCATTGATACTAGCACCATCTCAAAGTCGTAAAAAGCACTATTTTCTCTACTATTATTACATATTTTTCTCAAAAGATGGCACTTACAAATAAATGACTGCTAACTAAGTTGCGGTATATATACGAAATAAATGTTGATCAATACACAGTGTCAATCATGTCATAGTAATTTATTGAAACTCGTATAGATAGTTTTGTATATAGCGAATTAATTTCTAGCTAATAACATTGCCTATTATTTATTAAAAATACGATATAATACCGAACCAAATTTATAGCGTCCTCTAGTGTAGCGAAGAAGAAACTCCCCTCCTTTCGTCGCCAAATAATTTGTTAGAGTATATTACCTATGGGCACGACTGTAATAAACTACCTAAAATTAAAAATTAAAAACTATCTAAAATTCATAGGCTTATAAAATATAGTTGCTATGGAGTATAGAGGTAAGGAGTACAGACTCTGTCTTCGATCAATAATTGATCGAAGGACTCTGTATAAAAAAAGTGTCCGTAAGAAAGCGCTAAATAAGGGTGGCGCTGTGCACCACTGTAGCTACAGTCTAAATTTTATAGAACTTTCTATAATTTTTTGTTTTCAAATTTCAACACACTATCTAACAAGCATAATATATCCAGAAAAATATATATTTTTCTGTTTTTGTTTACTGCAGTGGATCATATAGGTACTTTTAGGCATTATAAAAGTACCTAAGTATATGATCCACGTTTAGCTCCTGTAGTCCCATTAATAAATTTTTCGATTTCGGCACAAGCTTTGTATTTATGTTGCCTCCATTGCAGTAAAAAGAGATCACGAACGATCGAACTAATTCGAGAAGATGGAGTACTCGGAAGATGGAAGAAGACGGAGAAGATCGAGTTTTATATGTGGTAGAGCCATGCTACAGTTACATTAGTAGTATAGTTGTAGCACGAATGGGTCGGCTCGACCGGGGAAGGACCACGCTCTCACAGAATACCAGCGTAAAATAGTAACTTAATGCTGCTGTGTTTCGTATGGTGAGTGTAGAGAACCGGAGACCTTTTTTACTGGAAACGTGGCATTCCATCTTGGTCCTCACGGGTGACAACGCATCTGCATTTTGATTCGTAAACGAGGATGGATGTAGATGTCTACAGGCCGCAGCAACCACTTACCATAAGGTGAACTGTGTGCTAGTTTGTCACCATATACTATAAAAAAAAACTCACGATCCAATGATTATGATAATTCATACGAAGATGCTTGTAAAATATCTGGTTGCTCAAAGAAGTTAGCATAGCATAAAGTTTACACTGAATGAAAAGAAAATAGAGCAACGTATAGCGGAAATGGAGATGAATTACGACTTGGCAGAATGACTGATTGTACTTTTCTTGCGCGTTTTTAGGCTTGATTCCAATGACGTATTATATATAGACACGTCATGAACGAACATCGCGGCGCTTAAAAACGGCGAAAATACTAGAACTACTTATACCCATGAAGAAAGAGAAAGAAAATATGACACCGTACGCCGGGATGCCTGTTGCTTGACTACTACGATCAACAATACCAATCCAATTGGTATTGTTGATCGAAGCTTGACTACTAGCTGCATGCGCCGGCCGCCATTAGACGGCGTCGTCGAATAAAATGAAATGAAAATAGGTAGTTTTGTGAACTTACGCATGAAATGACACATTTTTGTCTTTAACTTTTGGGGTATAATTTGTACATCGTCTGAAAACACACGACGGCATGTTTTCTTTATGTTTTGCAAATGTTTACACACACGAATCACGATATAATGAATTAAAAACAAACGTAGCGTCGCGCGACAGGTTGGTGCGTGACTAAGCGCGATGTGGCCAATTGGCTTCATTTCATGTTGCCATTTTAGAGTGCGGACAACGTATCTATAGCCCCATTTACATTCAGCCACTGCCACTGCTCCTCGCGCTGCCGGCAATACTTCCCTAAATACTGCCGTAGCAGGATCGCGGGAAGTGTGTATTCACACTCTGCCCTACCACTCACATCGCTTTCGGCTTTCGACTATGGCAGACGTCGAAATAATTACAGCGTCCGCGCTGTGTCTTCTTGCAATACAAAATTATGTTAATAATTTAAAAAGATATCAAATTCAAAAGAAGATAGATATATAGATAGAAAATTTATTAGCTTAAAAACATGGTACATAAGATGATCAATGACGTGGAACTGACATGTTTTGCCATAATTGGCATGCAAAACTGATATGAAATACAGCTAATTACACAAACCCAATGTTATATTTTAAAATTATTGCATTGCTTAAAAGTTAGGTGCAAACATTCTTTTTGAATTAAAATATTATGTATTAATGAAATACTTATACAGATCCACTCTATTTCAATTCTTATACAATAAATTGTTCCTAAATTATTAATTGAATTATTACATTATTATTACATAAATAATATTAAATATTATATGAGATTAGTTAAGCTATTATTATTTGAATAATCACACTACAGTATAAATTAATTCATAATTTTAATTGCAATAAAATTATAATTTACAAATCTCAGGCTATTATGCAAATATTACCATTTAACTTATTTTACATTTTAATAAATAAATAGTCAATATGAGTTACTAATCGTTTTTAGAAATAAAATGTCAATGTTCATTAATTCCTTAAACTAAATTTTATATTAAAATAATAAATTTTACGAATTTATAATTAATATACATAGGTACAATGTTATCTCAAAAAGAAAGTTCGTATTCGTAGAAGATGATGAATTGTGGTTTTTATCGTTGAAATCCCATAGTTTTTTTTATTTCAACAGTTCTAAAAACTTTATTGTATTTTCATTATTCCACTCGAAAGGCATTTTGGTAGATCGTATTTATTTAATAACAAGACGGCACGCACGTCCATTCATCCAGGCGCTTGGCGCGAAGTGAGCGATGGAGTGGAGCTGAACGTGAACACTCACTGCCGCTCGCGCTGCCCGTCCTTTGACTTCCGCACGAAAAACCGACATTTGATGGATCGTCGGGCAGTGGCAGCGGCAGCGGCAGTGTCAGCGCGAGTAGCCCGTTAACATACTGCCCTGCCCACTGCCCTGCTCACTTCCCTGCCCAACAGGGCTGAATGTAAATGGGGCATATAAGTTTATACATCATTGCTTGATTCTATCTCCTGATGATTGCTTTTACTCTTTTTCTTAATTAACAGTGGTTATTCATGTCTTAATAGCACGCAAATAAGTACAGACAGATATATTAATTTTATTTATATGGATAGATATAGATCAATTATATGTTTCTGCTTGCAGATAAATCTCTAGGCAACCGGTCTTCAAACAAGACAAAGTGTTTCGAAATGTCAGACAAGCAGACGAATACTGGAGAGAAGCAATATTGTCAAGTATGCGACAACTGCAAGAAACGACTGGACACTCCATTTCAAGAATTCGAGCTTAAAAATATCGGCAAGCAATCGACGCAATTGGACACGCATAATCTAGAAGAATGAGAAAACAATCATAAAAATACCTTTAACATGTAAATTGCGGGAAGGTCATACGGGCATCGATGTCGATTTTGTCATAAATGTGAAATATTAACTTTTCTTGCTTACGCTTTCAAATAGAAGTAAAAGTGATGAAATCGCACATAGGACTGGTGGTAAGTATAAGCTATGTGCTGTGACTTCTACTCGTAGATATCAACATCTATCCTCTATAAAAAAATGCGGAGGCGTTGTCAAACCCTAGGGTCTGAAATGAAATGCCTCGTTACAGATACTAATTAAAAACAAAAACATGGCATCATTATACTGCAATCACATACTGATATTCTGTGCGTTTTACACTCCTTCTTTGATCGAGAGGATCCATTCGTGCTTCGATTTGTATCCTACAAAACTGCATTTCAGCTGCACTAACAGACTAAGTTCGTGGATCATCTATTTAGATCAGCCCTCTTATTTATGAGAGAATATAATAAACAATAAAAAATAACTAATGATTCTCAAGAACGATACTTAGAGGTTTACATTTTATCTAGATATGTTTAAGACAAAAAAGTAGCTGTAAATAGAATAGTGTTATTTATAATAGATAATAATATATAGCTTATTAACAACATGTTTATTCGTAAATCATTTATTTCAAGCATTATCGATGTTACTAAATTGGACTGTAGGTAGATCATTTTTTTATAAATTTGCTTACATTATGAGAACCGTACGAAAAATTTGTTTCCTCAACTATGTTTAGAATATTAACAATTGTATTCTTAGTAAATGGTGTGTATTATTATATAATTGTATTGTGCATTAACTTAATCTAGTTATTACTTAAAAAATAACACCGAAATGTTTAGTTATAGTTTTAAACTTAACATTTGTGTAACTATACTTTACATAGGTCGCAGGCTTATGATAAATTCATTGAATTATTATTAATATTATTGAATGTATTCTAACCGGAAGAATACAAAATTACTACTATATGTTATTATAAACCTAAGAAAATCCAGTTTTCTCATCAAAAACCAACACTTATTTAGTTTTATGACAAAATCAACCTAACCTAACCTAACCTAAGCTTAAATTTTCTCATAAACCTAAACAAGTTCAGGTTTTTTATCAAAAAACAGGATTTTTCAGGTTTATGATACAATTAAGTAATAACTTTGTATTTTTCCAGTTCAAAAACCTAGGGTTTTGGATAAACCTGCGACATAATATATAGGTAACATTTAAAAACATAATGTTAACAATTATTATAGTTATTGCTATTTCAATGTTAATGTCAATGTTAATTGCTCAAATTAGATTTGTAAATGAGTTTGAGAAACCTTTATTATAGAATTTATAGTTTAAAAATATTCTTATATAATTACGTTATAACTTATAAGTAAGTAATAACTAAACACTAAGGTTTTTATTACCAGTTACCTGGTTAAAAAAGTGTTAAAACACCTTTTTATAGTATATTGAGGCCAACATGCACTGAAGCAGCAAGCAGCAGGAAGGCCGATTGTTTCATACCCTCTGAGAAATAATAGGAGGCTCGTACTCAGCAAGTAGACTTTTTTTAGGTTGTGTTTAGGTTAGGTTTTTTTTTAGGTTGTGTTTCAATCGTATAATTTTGAACCATAAATTCATATGAAATAGGACATATTTTTTATTAAGTATGCTTAAAAACAAAGGAAGAAAGGTTCTCGAGTGATAACTTTGTAACGGATGAGTAGAAAAATCCCACACTTAGGCCCGGTTTACATTTCGAGAAGTGACAAGTGCGAGTGACAACTGACAAGTGGCAAATGAGAAGTGACAAGTGCGTATTTTATTCCCACTTATCACTTGGCACTGCCTGTTCACACGCACTAAGCACTGGTCATTTGTCAATTGCACTTGCCACTTGCACTTGTCACTTCGCAAAATGTAAACCGGGCCTTATTTTTGTATGGTTTTGTAAGTCTGAGTAATGACACAATTTTACTACCCGTGAATGTAGGTATTGTAGGTACGTATGCATTGCGAGCGTGTAGATCTAGAGCGTGTAGATAGCATGTAGCTACGATTTTATAGCATATTATATCTACCGTAATATGTCTATACGTAGTATAATATGTCTGTACGTAGGTTGAGCATCTAGTGCCGTCGATGAAGCATGATGTACAGATAAACCTTCTTAGGTTTTTGCGACACCGTGATAAAATAATTTAAGCCTTGTATTTAATTTATTTTAAATTAAAAAAAAGTAAAGACCTAGTAGAATGCAGGTGAATCCGGACGGAGTTTTGCGGCATTCCTTGGGGAGGCCTATGTTCAGCTGTGGGATTTTTAAGGGCTTTAATGAAAACTATGATAACGATGAAACTAAAAGAGAATTTAAACAGTTTTATCATTCGCAACGATTTTAGGATAATTTAAAACACAGGGATTTGAAACTTCCATTGAATTGGAAGCGATTGTTGCTCAATCACTTAAATTGTATTAAATAATTAAATTTATTCCCATTTTTTAGCATTTTTATAATATTATAAAGTGAAAAGGGTCGTATTGTATGTACTAATAAATGTATAGTATAGATTTTATTATACAATGCAATCTACATTACTTGTACGATTTAATACATATTTTGTTCAATATCTTTTGATATTCTGTCAAACGTATAATACTACTAGCTGGTCCGATAGACGATATCTTGACCGTTCCGATAGGTGGCGCGATGAGTGTCACTCTGAATTCGTCCTGGACTTTATACATAATCGGCTAATAATCAAGTTTAGATTTTGTTTCTTGGAACTAAACCAAATATATTGTGAATATGAGTCATTTTTATTTATAAATATAGTTTGATATCTTTAAAATAGCACCGTTTTGACAAAAACAGATTCAATCAATCAATAATTCAGATGTTGCACGATCACTAATAGTCGCATCAACAATTATATACTCGTACCTACCTATATCTCTCTTCGCCATCAGAAAAACAAAGTTATTATCTCAAAGATGAAACTCAGCTAGATAAACTTGGAAAATTAAACATTATCTAAATATATAATTCATCCAAATTATTATTAGTCCAAGAGGAATCAGCGCATGAGTACCGAAAGCCATACCATATATTTTTTTATGCGATTCTCTTAAAATTTTCCTACTGATGATATAAATGCATGTTGCCATGGGACAACACGGTGCCATATCGTTTAAACATATTTTTTTATTGCACGGAATTTTTATTTTTAAACGGTACATTTTTTATATACTTTGATAAAATACAAATAAAAAAGTCATATAACTTTTTACGATAAAGTTAATATTTTCGGAATTATGCACTTTAAAAGTTTAAAATATCCCAAATTAGGATATTTTCGTACCCATTAAAGAAAAAGAATAAATAATAAAAAAATATTTTTAATATTGTTTAGTAAAATGTTAATAAAATAGGTCCAATGACTTTTTTACGATAAAGGTAATATTTTCGGAGTTATGAATTTTTAAAGGTTTGAAAAATCCCGAATTCGGATACTTCTGATTCTGGCTCATCTACATATTCCTTGCAATTGAAAAAAAAATGATTTAAACCATATGGTACCGAGATGCCCCATGGCAAGATGCGTTTATATTATCAGTAGAATAATTTAAAAAGAACTGCATAAAAAATGAGGTGGAATAGTTTTTGGTACTCATGCGCCGATTCCTCTCGGACTATACGAAGCCACGGTAATATTATCTATACAGTATTGTAACTCGGCCGTATCTTTCAAATAAATGCCTACAGCCGTGCGGCACGTAAACATGTGAGAGGGCTGCCTGCCTCCAGCATTTTTACATTTGCCTACTTTGTGTTTCCATTTAGTTTTATGATTGCAAATATACTTTTATATAAACAAATAAAATAGGTACTTTGTGAATTGAATAGGAAGTGTTCAATAAAAATGCGTGTCGTTTTTTTGATTTAATCGGTTAAATAAATTTGCGACCGAAAAATATTTGCACCTCGGCTGAGACTTACGAAATGTTTTATTATTAGATTTTTAAATATAAAAAATCCGCTTTCTAATATAAAGCTAAAAATAATATAAATTAAAAATTGTTTTGGGAAACATGGACAACGTGGAGAAAAGGAATATCTTTTATATAATTGGTTATAGATACCTGCAGCTACTTTACAATTTATATGTTTGTTTTTAAATGAAGTTCAGATTTATTATTTCTTTATTTCTATTCTATTATTTATTTCCTCCATTTTTTTTAAATATATTTCACAAAATCATCACTGCGGCACAGTCTCGACTGTCTGCATGCCAAGCGCATGCCGAGATCGAGGCGCGTAGGTATAGCTCTCGTTTCGTGCGTTTGTATGAAGTTGGAATACTGTATAGATAATATTACCGTGACGAAGCCTTTGAACTTTCGCTCACGCGCACGTGATAATCAACACGGAAACGGGACTATCTCGAATACTAAAATTAATAATCAATCCCACCAAAACAAATGCCTACCGCTAAGTGCGTCCGCCCTTTCGCTAAGCACTTTGATCATTTCCACAGATCGTTAAACTGTTACGACATTCCCAACTTTTATTTTGTGTAAGTTTAGTTATCCCTACGACTAGTCTTCATAATATGGAATTTAGAAGTTATAGTTGTCATTTTTAATACGAGCAGACACTCAATTGTAATTGGGAATTGGGTCTTTATACAATTATAAACACTATTTCATCGTTATCTTTGGTTTTGTACAAGAAAATATAAATGAAATGATACTGAATAATTTAATATCTAAAATCAATTGCAATTTATGATCGACGGTTAATTAATCTATCAGAATTAATCCAAAAATAATTATTTTACTTTATTTCAATTGACTTTCCGTTTTTAATCCGTCCAATACTTTGAAAAAGAGGTACGTCAAAACTATTAAAAATTACTTGCAAGTTTTATTGTGATTGCCGCCTCTAATTATTATGTCACCTGCAAATTTTAGTAGGTAAATTTCGGTGCAACATGAGCAGC